ACTTGTTTCTAGTAGCGAACCTTGTTACTACTAGTAAGGCACTTGTTACTACTAGCGTGACACTTGTTTCAGGTAGCGAACCTTGTTACTACTAGTAAGGCACCTGTTCCTAGTAGCGTGGCACTTGTTACTAATAGCAAACCTTGTTACTACTAGTAAGGCACTTGTTACTACTAGCGTGGCACTTGTTTCTAGTAGCGAACCTTGTTCCTACTAGTAAGGCACTTGTTATTACTAGCGTGGCACTTGTTTCTAGTAGCGAACCTTGTTACTACTAGTAAGGCACTTGTTACTACTAGTGTGGCACTTGTTTCTAGTAGCGAACCTTGTTACTACTAGGAAGGCACTTGTTACTACTAGCGTGGCACTTGTTTCTAGTAGCGAACCTTGTTACTACTAGTAAGGAACTTGTTGCTACTAGCGTGGCACTTGTTTCTAGTAGCGAACCTTGTTACTACTAGTAAGGCACTTGTTACTACTAGCGTGGCACTTGTTTCTAGTAGCGAACCTTGTTACTACTAGTAAGGCACCTGTTACTAGTAGCGTGGCACTTGTTTCTAGTAGCGAACCTTGTTACTACTAGTAAGGCACCTGTTCCTAGTAGCGTGGCACTTGTTTCTAGTAGCGAACCTTGTTACTACTAGTAAGGCACCTGTTCCTAGTAGCGTGGCACTTGTTTCTAGTAGCGAGCCTTGTTACTACTAGTAAGGCACTTGTTACTTCTAGCGTGGCACTTGTTCCTACTAGCGAACCTTGTTACTACTAGTAAGGCACCTGTTCCTAGTAGCGTGGCACTTGTTTCTAGTAGCGAGCCTTGTTACTACTAGCAAGGCACTTGTTACTAGAAGGGATGCACTTGTTCCTACTAGCAAACATTGTAACTACTAGTAAGGCACTTGTTACCACTAGCGTGGCACTTGTTTCTAGTAGCGAACCTTGTTACTACTAGTAAGGCACCTGTTCCTAGTAGCGTGGCACTTGTTTCTAGTAGCAAACCTTGTTACTACTAGTAAGGCACTTGTTACTAGAAGCGATGCACTTGTTCCTACTAGCAAACATTGTAACTATATACTAGTAAGGCACTTGTTACTACTAGCGTGGCACTTGTTTCTAGTAGCGAACCTTGTTACTAGTAGTAAGGCACCTGCTCCTAGTAGCGGGGCATTTGTTTCTAGTAGCGAACTGTTACTACCAGCGTGGCACTTGTTTCTAGTAGCTTCTTGTTACTACTAGCGTGGCACTTGTTTCTA